CGGGAAACTCATATTCAAGCCCTAATATCCTGACGTAAGTAGAATTGCGAAGACATAATATCATGATAGCTAGAAACGTCTTGATGCTATAAGTTGCTTACAACAAATCACATGGATAACTGACAACCAACCATTACACAAAAACAAAGCAAAAAAACATACACAGGAATAAAATAACCCAAAAGAAACAAAACAAACTATAACAAGTAGTAGTAGAATGGTTTTATTAGAACAACAGCAAAATGGTAGCCCAAAAGCTAAATTACATTGCAAGTTTTACAAGCTCAGTCTTAACAATTATTTCAACAAAACTTAGATACAGACAAGCAGGCGCGTACGCAGGATTTTTTCAAGGGGGGGGGGGGGTTAACATTTATAAATGGGGCCGAAAATTTCGCAACGCCTCAGCCAGCCGCTGAATAAGCGGGGGGGGGGGGGGGGGGTGGGGGGGGGGGTCACTTTTTTTTGTTTTTGTTGTTGGTCCCAAAAGAATCGCAACGACTAAGCCGACCGCTGAATAAGCGGGGGGGGGGGGGGGGGGGGGGGGGGGGGGGGGGGGGGGGGGGGGAAGACCTTACCCTTTTTTTTTGGTCTCGAAATTTAAAAAATAGACATTTTGCTCCGTTTGGGGGGGGGGGGGAGGTAAGGTGTGCTTTTTTAGGTCAGTCATGGGAATATTTTTTTTTTTATAAATTAAAAAAAAAAAAAAAAAATTTAAAGGGGGGGGGGTTAGGGGGGTTTAGGGGGTTATGGGGGGGGGGTTTATACACAAAAAATACCGAAGGGGGGGTCTTAACCCCCCCCCCCCCCCAAACACCCCACTGTGTACGCGCCTGTAGACAAGTACAAATAATACACAGTAAAAATGACCATAACTTATTACATATTTCATAACAAATTAATGTTTAAATAAAACATCGTCTCTAAACACGAATGATTTAAATGCGTGCGAGTACATTAAAGTTGAATGAAGATCACGTAAACGAATTCGGGGTTCACCATCCATTTTATTCAATTCCTGGGCATAACAAGATTGAAAATGATTTTGTAAACAAATATTACTGTTCAGCTGTCTGTAGCCAGATTTAATTAAACAAAAATATGATTAACCCAAAATTAGAGCCTTTTAATCAACATTTTTAACTCAATATATCGTGTATTGCTTGTAAAGACATTTAAGGTTGAATCTACGTTTCCATTTTCTTGATTTTGTGATTCTTACTGTATTTCTTAATCATAAATGTTAAATTTTATATATGACATAAGGCGTCATTGAGAACGCCCGTAGATTTGGCACAAAACCGTTCTGGATTTCAGTACCTCAGCGGTCATCCCGCTGTTAGTAGCTTCTCGATTTTGCACACGAACCGCAGAATCTCCGTCCGCAATGAGCTTGCGAAATACCCCTAATGTTTGTCGAACTGGCAACAACTAATGTACGCAGTTTGGATTCTGTCTATTGAAATACTATTATTCTTATCAGGTGAATGACATAGTTTGTATCGAGGCACTTCACAAAGAAGTATGCAATGACAATGACAATGACAATTTATTCTCATGTCACCCACATTGGGGTATTGGAGAAGTTTACAATCAGTTTGAATTTGTCAATTTAACACTGTGAAATATACAATACAAATAGAATTAATGTTAATCCATACAAGATAACACTATCGACAATAGTGAGAAAAATTATGATGATAATGATAATAACAATATTGATGATGATAATGATAATAATAATAAAAAAACAAAACGATAATATTAATTAAAACTATAATTAATGACGAAATTAATGGAAGCAATTGAAAAAGAAATTCACTGGCACCAGTAAATTGATATCTGAATTAATGAATTACTGAAAATATTCTTGATATCAATTTATGCATTCTTGATATCAATTTATGCATTAAACTTGGTTACATCACGGAAATTGCCTATTGGCATTGCAAATGCGATACCTCCGTACTATACGTACGCGTTCACCAACAAAAAGCTAAACCGCCTATTGTAACGAGGGCGGTCTGTGTGCGACGACCGTAACCCTGAGTGCTCTGCGTCGTAGAAGGTCTGTCCGTCGCTGATTATTAAATAAAAAACACACGCCGCAGAACATCTTAACAAGGTTAACGCAAAACCTCCATTACTTCGTTATACGATGGTGGCGGTTGATCAGCATGAGCTGATGCTAACCGGTTGGTAGCGGTTTGAGCCGGTGGGAGCTGGTTGAGAGCGAGTTGAGCCACTGGGAAGTGGTTAACAGCAGTTTGCTCCGGTGTGGACAGAATGAAAGCGGCTTGAGCCGATGTGTACTGGTTTGTACCGGTTTGGACCTGTTGAATGGATCCCGCCTGCAGTTGATATGAGTGCTCGTATATCGGGAGGCGACTTGGTCCATGGATAATTGGAGATTGTACTCCCAGGGTAAATGCGGTGTTTGAGGCATTATAACTTGAAGGCCGAGTTGATGCAACTCTAGGATTCCACGACCTCGAAAATGTATGTTGTACATAGCAACACGAGGTGATACTAAGGATCAGTACGGCGATTCCAGTAATTAAAATTCCAATTCCTGCATTCTTCGGCGTCTGAAAAGCTCCCAAAAGTACGCTCTCTGCTCCCAACAATATCAATAAACACGATAAAACAATTACAGCCATTGAACAAATGTAGCAACGCTTCGAACATTTCATATGTTGGGGGTGGTCATCCATATTGCAGCAGTTGTACCAGCTGATGACACGGTCTGTGTGTGCTTGGTCGTGGTATTAGGAAGAGGTCGACTTCTCCATTCATAAGAAATTGAAGCCGATTTTTTAAAATCCTGAAACATGCAACAACAAAAAAGAGTTGTAAATGTTTTATAGTTTTTTCGAAAAAGTTACCCGACTGTAGATCACAATTAAGTGCCATGAGTGTCACAGTACAATAGCAGATACTATCATTATCATAACCCTCATAATGATTAATACCAACTATTTGGATTAGTGGTAACAGGATCGTACTTTTGAGCCAAGTCACGAGCTTATTATGCTTGTTTTCGTGATTTTGTTATGATTTTGTTCGGTGGAAAATTGTGCCTACAACATTGGTGGTTAAATCTAAATCAGTCTAAACTGAGACTACTATTTATGCTAGAAATTAATGTCAATTTGTCTTCTATTACTCAAAGTGTAAAATAAATTGGACACGATTATGTACAGAATTTACTCCCAAATATTGGAGACACTGATTGATCTATACTTAACAACTGACCTTGATTAGGACTGCAAGTATATTGCGTTTTTTGGAAAAGTGGAAAATGGCTTTAATAGACAGTAACCAGGGGTAACATACTACGCTAGATCTTATCCGAGGAAATTGATACTGAGGATAGATGCCTTACCAAAAGGACGCATCTGAACAGTCCAATACCATTTTTTCAGATATGAACTTGCCTACATAATCAAACTCTCTATACATTGTCTGGAATTTCCCCTTTAGGCCAACATCGCCTCCTCAATACCAGTGCGATGCAAATCATACTTACCTCGTGCAACAATTCTCATCACCACACTTGTATTCTTCGTGCAGTGCATCCACGCTCTCAGTCCCTATACCAGAAATCGTATATTGACCCTAACTGGGACAAATCACGTATGATAAGGTTTGTATCAATAGAGTATAGGTAGGCACTAGCGTTAGATTCGAACATTTTATATTTGATTTTCAATAAAGGCAGGAACATTTGCTGAACAAGATCTAACTATTCGGAGGCGAAACATTAGGGTAAACAGTCTGACGATAAAGCACATCATAAATTATGTTTTTATGTAGCTTTATATATTATGTAAATAAAGCTTTAACAACTCAATGTAAATGGTGTTATTTTATTGAATATGCAGGCTGTGGTTCAAGGTCCATTTATTTATATGCATTACTATTTGTCAAGAACATATAATCAAACACGTGGCAAACATGGTCATTAAAAAAGATCTATGCAGCGTCAATAGTAATGATAGGGGGAAATAAGTAATACAAGTTGTTCAATCATTTTTATATTTACGTTCATTAGTGCTAAAGTGAGCGATTTGTGTCCATATTAATTAGTCATCTAGAATATTTGTAAGAAATCTTTTCCAGACGGGGATAGACTTCTCCTCTTGCGTTTATGTTTTTTTCGCCTGGATCATTTAAATTCATGAATGTAGTACATTACTTCTACGTTTCATTAATTTAATTTCTTAATCACGTTTATTTTTCTTGCGATGGTAATCGTTTTCTAGTACAATTATTGATTATTTAAAGTTATTTTGAGAAAGAGGGATAGGGAGAGAGAGCGAGAGAGAGAGAGGGAGAGAGAAAGAGAGGGAGAGAGAGAGAGAGAGAAAGATTAAAAACGGCGGTGGAGGGGAGAGGGGAGAAGAATGGAGGAGATATGGGGTTTTCAATAACCAACATACAATAACATAGTGAGCAGCTGGCATGGTTGAAAGACGAAAAAAGGAGGGAAAGGAGAGATGCGAAAGAATGAGAGAGAAGAGAGAAAGAGAGAGAGAGAGAGAGAGAGAGAGAGATAAGGAGAAAGAGAGAAGGGGAGGGAGGGCGGGGAGAGGTCGGGAGGGAAAGAGAGAGGCCACGAGCGCGGTGATAATATTTGAGACAGAGAAACCCAGACAGAGACTTACCATTTCTTTAAGATAACATTACTAATTGATAACTGATAATTTGCCTAACTAAAATAATCATAGTAAAGGGGGATAATCATGAACATCAAGCGCTAGGGTACATTAAATTTGTTTCGTGAAAATGAATTGATAATGAAGGGGCTCACCGTGCTTGTTTACTAATATTTCAAAAGTAAACAATACGAAGCTACTCGACGTTCTACGAACCATTACGGACAAAAGCGCACCGCACTGAATAGAGAAGTCTATCAAATTATCGATTTTGCCATGGATCAATGGATTATCTTTTGAACGGTCCGTAAACAACAGGCAGTTACTCATCTTCTAAATGAGGGTTATATTGTAACGTGTACATCCCAACCCTGTTAGAGTGTTGTGACTGCCTTGTTATTGCAACACATCAAGGGACTGATAAATCGCCATAAAGCCATGCCAAAGGATGAACCCGTATTGACGCCTTTGCTTCGAGGTAAGTTGAAAGTTTCCGAAGTATAGAGTATTACATTTTGTCTATTTTATTACACTATTTGCACTATGGCATATCTCCTTCACCGACAAACTGTGTCAACACACTCCCTTCCAATTCCCAGCACTTTTCTTTTCCATATTATGGCAACATACCAAAATGACATATTGTGTCTTCCTCATCATTATAGTGAACATTGATTTTTTAATGCCAAATATTTCAAAGTAGATAAATAAGGATTATAAAGCATTTTCTACGTTTCTTCCATGATTTTTACTGTAAATAAAGACCATCATTATAGCACGCTCTAATAATCCTTCCATCACATTTTGAACTATGAAATTGTTCTCTTTGATCAAAAGTACGTGTTTGTAAACAGAAATTAAGGTCACCTGGAGGGCGTTATTTAGTCGTGATGCATTTGTTCTGTTTTCGAAAATGAAAATTACAATTCGCTGGACTTGACACTATTTAGGTTATAACGGTTACGAAATGCTGTGGGATATTTATTTCTTTCTGCAAATTCCTTATTACAAGTCACTGACTGAAAGTTGTGGATCGCTAATCTAGACTTAAAAATTGAGCTTAATACCACTGCGGCGCTTAACAGACAGTACTGCCCAAAAGTTTAATATCAGCCTGCATTGAAAAAAATTTGTCTTGGTTCATTTAGTAACGTTACGAGCAAGATCATTACCCAAGGTTATCCGATTTTAGAATATTGCATGTGATTATTAAAGATAAACTCCAGTTCTGGTAAAAAAAAATAAAAAATAAAAAATAAATTCACAGAATCAAACGAAACTTACACTGAATGTTCAAGATTACAAACAAATGACATGTGCCAAATAATTTTGGAAGAAAATGTATACTGGCTGAGTAATGAGCATAGAAAGACAAGGAAATCAATTAGGTAGTAATAGCCCCGACACCATGTGTGTTGTCCCATATATAGCTTTCTGTGTACAGTGCTTGTTACTTTACCAAGATTTTGATGACTCCAGAACCTTGCAGCGCACACCAATACTTACATGCTACATGATCAAATGTTTCTGATCCACACCTTTTCGTTCACAATGCAATCGCATTACCAGTACTAAAGTTTATTTTTAATGTCTTAAAGACACATAGTAGTGGGCTCTCATGGGGAATTCGACACCATTCGGGTGTTTACCCAATAAAAGGTGTTGCCAACAACCAGGAGTAGCCTTCAGTTTTATGATATCAACATGCCTAATGTAATGCTCTGCAAATTTCACCAATCGCCACATATGGAAAAGTCAGCAACTTACACTTCCCCCACCCGAAGTCTCTCCAAGAGACTAGAGAGAAGGGGGATTTCTTGATGGGACCATGATTTGCTGTGTTTGAAGGGATTGAGTAACTTTGTCTCAGATTCTGACACAAAATCCTGGATTAGCTCATGCTGCAATGATAATTATAAACCTTTAGGTCAGTCAGGAACTCCATAACCTTTACTAGACGATTGCCTGACTGATTATCAAGATATTTATGGTTTTAAATTGAAATGGTGTTTATAACACCACAGTCTCTTGGGGGAAATGACTATGGTAAAACCGGTCACTCACAGATTTTTTTAAATATATATATATATTTTTTAAAATTTTTGTTTTACTTCTTTGAGGCACTTCGTGCACGTTTTGAAGCGCAATGTTTTTTAAGGCTTCAATATTACACCATATCACAGACACTGATACTGATAGCACGTAGGGCCATGCATCTAAGATTTAACATTGTTAAATGATGCCTTTAATGGTATTTTAACCAAGTCTAGTGTCACCGAGCTATGACCTACTGCACATGGAAACTGTACACCATCTACCTTTAATTTCCATGTAGGAGGTGTAAACTAGTCCATTTGGAGATCACGAATCGAACCATCCCACGATGGCCAAGGCCGTCGAACACGGAATCAAGAAGGTCAACGAGATCTACGACCAGGGTGACCTCATGTGCGAACTCAACAGGACAAACATCCTGACCCGACAAACCGACGACGGAGGTCAAGCCTATGGCAAGATCAACGTCGTCAAAGGAATGCAATGGCACCCCATCAAGATCCCCCAGGACGTTCTGCTGGAGAAGTGCAAGTTGCTTGGGTCGGATCAGATCGTTGGTGTGGTCTCCGGGAAGAGACTGAGCGTATACGACATACATGGACACCACGTGCGGCTGATAGACGTCAAGAAGAAAGGTCGAGTAAAGACTGTTGAGAACATTAATGCCCTTGCAGTGATCACGGACAAGATCCTTGTCGCAGAATCGCAGCGTTACAACAATCTTATCCATGTGGTGGAGTACCCTACAGGGGAGGCTGTTATGTCACTGTCCATTGACCAGAAGATCACTGGAATCATTCCTATAAAAACGGGTCTAGTTCTTGTAAGGTAAGAATCAGCAGTTTATACATTTTTAGTTGATTTATTACAAAGATAAACATGAAGAGCAACAGTCAGATAAAATTAACATACTCTATCAAGAAGGGATAAGATTGGACTGCTATTATAGTCAGTTTACAGATCACTGGAATCATTCCTATAAAAACGGGTCTAGTTCTTGTAAGGTAAGAATCAGCAGTTTATACATTTTTAGTTGATTTATTACAAAGATAAACATGAAGAGCAACAGTCAGATAAAATTAACATACTCTATCAAGAAGGGATAAGATTGGACTGCTATTATAGTCAGTTTACAGATCACTGGAATCATTCCTATAAAAACGGGTCTAGTTCTTGTAAGGTAAGAATCAGCAGTTTATACATTTTTAGTTGATTTATTACAAAGATAAACATATGAACAGCAACAGTCAGATAAAATAAACATACTCTATCAAGAAGGGATAAGATTGGACTGCTATTATAGTCAGTTTGCAGGCAACGGAACACGGATATTTGTCATGTTTGTTTCGTAACATACTGGTTGATGAAGGATTTGTAATAATTATATAATCATGCTTCCATAGAACTTCAACCTGAAGGTTTCCCATCTGTTATATATCTCAAAAGGGCTATTTCCTAATGAAAGCGAGCGATCCACCACGTTCTCTGGTAACCTTTGCTATGGGTTTGTTATTTTTCTTTTTAAAGCAGAGACTATAATGTTTATAGCATAGGTTGCAATTAGATTTTAGGTAAGATCTCGTGTTGGTTCAAGGAATTAGGTTAGGAATTCGATTAAACCGCGGAGTGATTTTTGCCCCAAACAGCAAGCTACAATCTCTAATAACCACCACCACCCCCCCCCCATTTCGGCATGACCTATCAAGTTTCAGCTAGATCACTCAAAAACCACATAACAAGTTTTAAAACCGAAAATTAAAAGCTTCATCAATTGCACCAAGTAAAGTTGCACCAAGGGCAGTACATCCCCATGTGTCATTTACCTATTGTTCGTGCACCCAACGAGATGTCTCCGGTTTTCATTATAAAAGAACAAAAGAGAAGATCCAGGCTGTCGACTATGCACATTATCCCCGTGTGGACACTACTGAGGTCATCACCTACGGTCGGACCCTGGTCAACATGTGTGTCAAAGGAGGAAACGACGAGCTCTATGTCATGTTCGTCAAGGGAGTCACGTCGAAGGTATTTTAAAAGAAACAAGTGTCTGTGAAATTTTACGAGAGAATTTACTACAAAAATCATTTAAAAGATTTTATTGGCAAATGTGTAGCTGTGTTCTTTCTTAAGATACATTATCTTCATCAGACAGCGTTAAAAAAAAGAAACACTGTATGATAAGGAAGACATACATAGCTATTTGTTTTAAAGTGTGTAGGGTGAGTTATTGCAATCTTGTCACATATATATTTGTTCACATAGTTTCTGATTTTAACGCCTCTTTATTTTAAATATTTATTATATTCTTGGTCCAATGGTCTCTCAAAATTTGTAAGGATGCATTAAAAACCACCACGGGTCTTTTTGCCTTTATATTTTAGTTGTTAGAAAGGTGAAAAGAGGTGGTCACATTATAATCTCATGCATCTCTGATTCACGAAAAAGAATCTACTCAAGCAACGTTGTACTTATTGCTTTAATTTCACGTTGCAGAAAACACAATTTCTCTCTTATTCCAAATAACTAACTTTGACTTTGTTATCCAAAGATTCTTGAGATCCACGTGCTTGATGATAAATACCAGGAGTTACACAGGACAAAGATCACTCATACCACCTCCATCTTGAGTTTGAGAGCGGTATATACATCACAGGGCCCAGGCTATCTCGTGATACAGATGGGAAGCACCATCTTGACTTTCAAATGTTCATTTGGACATCGGTGAGTATATCCATACTACTACTAGTACTACCACCACTTTTTTGGTACGAAAGGTAGAACGTACCAGACCAATAGGGACACCAAGAACCAACTAGGAAGAGAACATTTAGGCATGGAACGGCATGACAGAGTGTACTTGAATGGCAGAGAAAAGAGATGTGTGAAGAAAATGTTGCAATCAATCTCCAAGCTGGGAGAGGATACCTTGATAGATAGATATGTCTTCAAGCTCTTTTTGAACTGTTCTACTGTTGATGGTGATTTGAGATGATGTGGGAGCCTCATAATATGACATTCAGGGTGTCGATCAAACCACGAAGGCGGAGGGGGGGGGGGGGGGTAAGATGGGGTATCAACTTTTAGCATCTAACCGTAAGCAGCAGGCCTGCTGCAATTAATGTCAAACAAATCACATTATGTACTTTCTTTTTTTGTCTAATTTTCTTACAGGAAAGGTCTAGCTAAAGAGAGTGAATTGAAGAGCCCCACAAAAAAGAAATTCTACGCAGAGAGAAAGTTGCCACCCCCTCCCGCGTCCCCCAAGCCTGACACCGGAAAAGAAAACACGGGGGAGTCACATACTGAAAAGTAAACCATATAAACATAATTCATTAACTCAGTCACCTTTTATTCAGGCACCTTGAATAGTTAGGCTTTATCGCAGGGTATACACATATTAAATTGAAACAAAATAGAGCTGTAAAATGTTTGTACTTCTTTATAACGTTTTCTGACACCTCCTGTTCCCGACATTACGGTCACTTAAAACATATTAATACTTTTGTGAAGCATTAGTTAAGAATGATTTTTATATCGTATAGTCCTTGTTGTTAACCCATCGTCTTGTAAACTGCAATATTTGTATTAAAACAAAAAAATATATAATCAAGTTTTCAGAACATCAATCAATTTCTATTAATTGACGTTAAAATAAGTAAATTATCACTGGGCAATACAATTAGCGTAAATGATAATAATTCAACGATTTTAATGAAGTTCTCAGTAAGCACCATTATAATTGTTAGTTATACTGTTGACTATACTGAATTATCGTAGGTGTAAAACAGGGCAAACCCGTTTCAAGTAGAAAACGGGTTAAGTAACTCCAATCACACCTTTACAATTCCTTTTATATCAGAGACAAAGATGACGCAGAATCAACCGAGGCGGCACCGAATACACCAACGGCGAAAACGAAATCATTAGAGTTTGGGCCTGTCCTCTTCGATTCAAAAGCTATCAAGACGAATGAGAAAGAAAAGAGGTACGTAAAGTATGTATCATGGACCCCTTGAATACAAAGTGCTATATTTAGACCATGTTTTTCTAAAATGTCTTAACCATACCCAGAGTAATCTTTACATTCTGAGCGCAGCAATTTAGCTCCAACTATGCTATTATATATTTTTGTATGATTCACTTGCCGAATTTGACTTGTTTTCTTTTGCTAGTGATAATTTCATTTTGTTTTCTCTTCAAATTTTTCTTGAAGTCTTAATTATGAAAGAAGAGTCCTATTGATGAGACCGATAAACCTAACCCAAATTAAAGTAAAGAGGCTAAACAAAATTAAGACTGATAGTCTCTTTGATAGTTTAATTTGAATTAATGGCAGTCTCCTCTTTAACTAATTGTTCCACTCACAGCAAAACACCGGGAGATGCTGGTGCGTCTGAGAAGACAGAGTTTGGAAAAGAAAAGTCACATCCGGCAGAGAATCGAAAGCCAAATCCTTCGTCACCCAACCCCACGCGATCGAACAAACAGAATGTTACCACACCACAGACACCACATGAGAAACAGGAAGTGTCATCTACGCCGAAAGACACGATAAAAGGGTTAGTACCATTCTCTGTTTTAAGCGAACGCCACAGTAATTCATTACTGCATCTTACAAAAGCGGACACATTTTTTTTTTTTTTGGTCTCGAAATTTGATAATTTGACATTTTTTTTTCGTTGGGGGGGGGGAGGGGGGTAAGGTCACCTTATTTAGGTAAGCCGTGGGTCTAATTTTTTTTAATTTTTTAATTTTTTTTAAATAAAAAAAAAAAAAAAAACCAAAGGGGGGGGGGGGGGGTTTTTAGGTTTTTTTAGGGGGGTTTACAAACATAAAAATACCAAAGGGGGGGGTTTGAACCCCCAACCCCCCCCCCCCTGCGTACGACCCTGATTGCAACTGTAAAAATGACGAAGTAATGCATTACAATTTTTTTTTTTTTTTATTATTTTTTTTATTTTTTTTATTTTTTTTTTTACAGATTCCTATAAATCTCATTGTTACTTTCTTTGTGAAGTGGTTTACCCACTTGACTTTCAATTCTAGGGTTGATGGGTCGAGTCCCAGCCCTGCACTAACGTCCTTTGGCAAGATATTAATCAACATTTGCCACTCTCCACCCATGTGTGAGTGGGTACCTGGCACCTTGCTGGTGGTGATAATAACTCCAGGTCCCTGTTTCATAAAACTTGATATCAATAACATGTTACAAGCTACTGTTATAAGCTACTGAATCAAGGTATCTGATTGGCTGAGAGCAAATTTATCATAGAAATTAAGCATTTGTTATTGATAAAAAGTTTTATGAAACGGGCCCCAGGTCCGTCGAGAAATACAGCATCGAAGCTGATGAAGCTTCCCTGGTTAAAGAATTAATATTTGTTCTGTTAATATCAATTGTCCTCTCTTCCTCTGTCTTTCGTACTAGGAAACGAACGGTAGCAGGTGCTGCTCAGATAGGAGGCAAACCAGATAAAATTCAGAGGGACTCGAATGCAGCTTACGAGATGTCAGGTAGGCACGACTTTCTTTTAATTTAAAATTAATGACAAATGATGCTATCATGGTAGTATGATAAAATCTACATCATTATTGTGTATGACAAGTGTGGGCTTTTTCAACAATTTTAAAGCAATTTGAATCGTAAAAGGGAATTTCATTATGTTCAAAGTTAGATCATGAACATTCAGAGGTATATCAACATGATAAGTCTTAGATTTGAAATGTTAACAACTTGCCCACACTCATCAGGATAATATGTTAGCATTATATGGTGTTTTCAGGTATGTTTATAATTTGTTGGTGATGTAAAACAACATCATGCTAGAAAACACATAAATTGATGCTTTATGCTAAAAAGATGACCATTAATGTTTTATCCCGAAAGGTAAAGCCTACATAATAATAAACTGGATATAATATGTATATATTTCAAGATTACAAGTAAGGGTTTTAAAAACCGACCTAACATACAAAAATAATGTCTCCTTTCAGACGAGCCACACAATACATCATTCTTCGAATCTAGCTATATTGGTGAGGAAGGGGGTGTGATCAAAAGCAACAAATATGGGTTTTCCCTCCTCATCCCACCTGGCGCCATCGCAAAAGGCCAACGCAAAAGGATAGGCGTGGGACTATCACGTGAAGCGCCCGCCAGTGGCGCATCGGCGGGAGGAGTCAGCATCTCGCCCGTGATCTGCTCCGAGCCTTCGGGGCTAGAACTGGAGAAGCCGGCACGGATCAACCTCCAGCATTGCCTCAGCTCGTGGTCGAATGATACGCACGTCAACGTGCACGAACTGGTCGACGACGCCCAAAGACGCGACCGTGGAGTGAACGATAAAGGAGGTGCTCCTACACATCTTGTATTATTTTCTTGACCTAATATAGTAACATCATAAAATAAGTTATGAGATCTTTCTCATACAGTCGAGCTCCACTTAAGTCGTCGTCTGTATATATTACATCCGGGTCCATTCTATCACTACGTCAACAAAAATAATATTTAGGGGGGGGGGGGAGGCGTCATCGACCAGCTCTTTCACAGATGCATATCAATGTCTCAGAATTAGTTTGTTCTTGCTTTTTTTATTTTTGTATAGCCTAATTAATAATAATAATAATAAATGTCGCATTTGATAATTTTCTTAAGATTGTTCTTCATTTACATGGATACATTTTATTAAAGGCCCTGTCCATCTCTTAACTTAACATTGAACTTTTCTCTATTTCGTTGATTGGAGGGGGGGAGGGGGTTCTAAAAACCTGCACATATAAGTCGAAAATTAATATTTCTATCATTTTAGAGAACATGATCACCACATTGAAAAACATGAGCAATATTTTCCTTTCCCGCTTTATCACAATTATTGCCAATCCGCTGTAATTCAGCTCTAATCCTTTTAGAAAGTGATTTTTGGTGCAATAAATACAATTTTTCAATTTTAATTCAATCATCAGCAAAATGTTCGATCGGGAAGAACGGCGAGGTGACGCTCGATGTGACACGGCTAGGAAGGTACGCCTTGACGGCCATGGGCAGTCAGGTTTACAAGAAGCTGGTCTGCCGTCCGTTCATCCCCAAGAAAATGCCGACCACGAAGAAACCCATCATCAACGTCCTCATCTACGACCTCACCGACGGTATGAAGAAGGTAATGACATGATCATTTATCTTCTTGACGAAAGTTATATAAAGTACGGTTGCAAGAAAAAGAAAAAAAATGTTTGTATTCTGATATCAAACGGAAGTCTGATGATGAATGAGATTGATGATGGTGTTAACGATGACGAAGATAATAACGATTGTGACGCTGATGATGGTGATGATGATGGTGGTGGTGGTGATTGTGGTGGCGATGATTATGATGACGGTGATGATCATCATGGTTATGATAAAGGTGAGGATTATGATGCTTATAATGATTATGATGCTGATTATGACGATGATGCTGAGGATGACGATGATGATGGTAATGGCGACGATGCCGATGATGAAAGTACTCATTGACGGGGATGAGTTATGAGGTTAACAAGAAGCTCATCTGCCGTCCGTTCATCCCCAAGAGAATGCCAACCACGAATAAACCAATTATCAACGTCCTCATCTACGACCTCACTGACGGTATGAAGAAGTTAATGATCACAATCATTTATCTTCTTGACGAAAGTTATATAAAGTACGGTTACAAGAAGAAGAACACTGTTAGAAAAAAATTAAGCAAGTTGTTTAAAATTTTAAGCAACCCCGAGTTAACCGGTGAATCGCTCAACGTTGTTTAAAAATTAAACAAATTAAGGTTGTTTACATTTTGAACACTTAGTTGTTTAAAAATTAGGAAACCTTTTAATCAACAGTTGTTTAGTAATAAAATTGCACAACTCGGTTGTTTAAAGCAAGTTGTTTAAATTTTAAACAATAATGTTTAAATTACTAAGCAACTGTTGTTTATTCAGTATTACTGCACAACTGGGTTGTTTAAAAGGAGTTGCTTAAATTTTAAACAGAACTGTTTAATGGTTATTATCTGGTTGTTTGAATTTGTGAAATGACCTACTGGAACCACTCCTGCAATAATCACAACGATTTATCCACTGCAACATGCAGAGCTTGTTGCCAATTTACTTCAACATTTGTTCATCATATTCATGGCAGTGACAGACATCATTATTATTTGTCTCTTTAACTTCACCTAAACCCCATCGGCGAAGCCGAGAAGAACCAAGGCGTCGCCTTGCCCTTGTTCCGCCATACTGCACTGCACTAGCACTTGCACTGCACACACTAGCACTGCATGCTTGCATGCATGTATTATGTACGTACTTTGTGCATATCGCATGTGTGTGCGCAAATAGCAATCGCGTATCGAGAAAATATCAACGACGCCCCCGGGACTTTATAAACAACTCTGTTTAATTAAATATTTTTGTCTTTTAATACATAGTTGTTTAAGTCAATCGAGCACTGATTTTTCGATTTTGAACAACGTTGTTTACTTTTTTAAACAACATTCTTTTAAACAGTGATATTTTAAACACCGTTCTAACAGTGAAGATCATTTTGTATTCTAATATCAAAAGGTAGTCTGATAATGAATAAGGTTAATGATGGCGACGACGACGATGAAGATAATAATGGTTGTGACGATGACGATTATAATGATGAGGCAATGGTGGTTGTGGGGATGGTGGCGATGATTATGATGACGGTGATGATCATTATGAATATAATAAAGTTGATGACGATGATGCTGAAGATGACGATGATGCTGAAGATGACGATGATGACGATTATGATGGTAAAGATGGTATTGATAATGATGAAGATACTCCTTGACGGTGATGGGTAATGAGGTTAACAAAAAGCTCGTCTGCCACGAAAAAACCCATCATCAACACCTTCATCTATGACCTTACTGTCCGTATGAAGAAAGTTTTGTTGGATTAGAGTGCATTTTGTTCTAATATCTGAACATGATGGTGACGTTCCTGATGTTGATATTAATGATGACTGATAGTGATGACCGTGGTAACGGTGGTAGTAGTGATGGTGATGATGTCGACGGATACGATGATGGTAGTGGTGTTGGTCTTGGTAATAATGTAGAATTAATTAGGGTGATACTGATGAGGATAAAGATGATGACAACGATGATGTTGTTAACGATGGTGAAAATGGGAATGGACATTTTGATGACAATACTGATTATAATTATGATAATGAAAATCTGTATTGAATTGAGTTGTGAATTGTGTTTAGCAGCATTATCTTGAACCGTTTAAAGCGGTTTAAAATAATCCTTGCAGTTTACAATTACAGGTACATGTATGAGCTCTCAACCCGGCCATAACAAATACGTCTTCTATTTCATAGGTCTCTTAATAGATCCAACAATAATGAAAACAGTCATCTACCGACATTGAATTTTAGGTACATGTAATTCCATATAGGTTATGGCAGTTTAGGCGCTCATTTAACCCATTTAAGCCCACAACATGCACGGAGTTAATCTTGCCAAAACGCTGTAGCGCCCTCCCCCTCCCACGTAGAAAGATAGTGCTATCGTCATGATCATGACATTAAAGGTTCACCGGTATGAATTTTTTTGGTGTAGCATTAACCCTTAGTTCCGTTGAATAGGGATTTAACTTGGGTTTGTCAAGATCTCCAAAGATCTTTCAAGTGCAGAATAAAATCGTTTAAGATAACACAAGATTCATGAAGACGATAAACCATACTGAAGGAATCCCCCAATGATCAAATCGCTATTACCGGTCCGCCATTTCCTTTTAGACTTTGCGATTTTTAGCAGTTAGTGTTTAAAGAGAAAGTTGAATTCTTGAATGGTGTTAAATAAATCATGAGTGTTCTCATTCTCTTAAAAAAAGCACAGTTTGGGATGATCTCGGAGGAATATCTTTTGAAGAGGACTGATTTTCAAATGCCCTCTTATTCGTAGTATAATGAGAAAATAGCTGGAAACTAGTTTTACCAATCATTCATACCACGTGTGTATTGTAGTCCCATACACCCATTTATGTGTGCGGCGATGTGATTTCAGCTAGACTAATTCAATAGCTTTTGTCATTTCTGATCATGCCGCAACCTTGATGCATACATTTATCTTATTCACCACATACTCAACCTTTCCAATGACTTCCAGGCAGTTTCCATCACAAAGCTATCGGTTGATCCATAGTAAATTGTATCTTTAATGTTTCAAATTGTCCACGAGAGAATCTCTTGAGCCTTTAACCTCTTCGCTTGTCATTCCAAACCACTTGTTGGACGCCTGGTGATCCTAAGATCCCCATGCTCCCTAGCGCGGCTTTTAGTGACGTATTTAAAGCGAGGGTTGATATCTGAGGGAAATGGTAAAGGTGAATAACGCTCCTTGTTTTATTCGCTTTACGTCAGTTGGGAAAGGTATGATCACAAGATGGGATTTTTCCTGAAAAAGAAAGCTCTTCAAAAGCCCCTTATAAATACCTGATATGTGTAGATCTAACTGTCAGGCCACTGTTTGTATTAAACTATTTCCAGAAACTATTCCGAGATTACTCGTCATACTTCGACTGAAAGGACATTTGAAGAGAAATTCTTTTCAGAGGAATTTTTCTCTATCTTTTATTGAAATATATTTAATCAGGATAACAAGAATCAGATATACATTGTAGATACAAAATCTGTTTTACATCATGGTCCTGAACAGGATAAAAACACGAAATATAAATAACGAATATCACCAAAGCTCACAGGCAAAGGTAAGAACAGTATAAAACTAACATATAAGCATAATACGCATTAAAAATAGTAAAAAGCACAACATAACAAAAAAAAAAAAAAAAAAACAACAATGAAATAAATGAAATTAACAGCGGAAAAAATATCAAATCACTTTAATAAAAGGCATTAAAATATCACCCTAAAAAATAGAAGAGGAGAGAAGATATAAGGAAACTGGTAAACAGTAAAGGAGGAAAGAGGGAAAGAAAGAAAGAGGGGAGAGGGAAAGAAAGAAAGAAAGAGGGGAGAGGGAAATGGAGAGAGAGAAAGAGAGAGAGAGAGAGAGAGAGAGAGAGATGAGCCATGTCAAAGCAGTAAATGAATCGGCATTGTATTACACAGGTTTAACAAATTTGTCCTTGTACATACGTTTAAAAACATCGATAGATTTAGCATTTTGAAAAGCAGAAGGTAAACTATTCCAGATTTTACCTCCAGCGTATCTAAAACAATTCTTAAAACATTCAAGATTAGGCTTAGGTAAAACAACATTCAGCGTATTGGCAAGTCTAGTGTTAAAACCATGTCTGTCAAAAACCATTTCCACTTCATTGCATAATCGTACTGGGGCTTTTCCATGAATACAGTTGTACATTATACATGATAAAAGATAGTCCCGTCTAGTATCAATGGATTGCCATTTTAATAAATTTATTATACTCAAGCTATTTACATTATAATCAAAATTCCCTACGACAATACGTGCAGCTCTTTTTTTGCAGTCTTAAAAGAATATTTCTGTTTTGTAAAGAACAGTTTCCCCATACGGAACAAGAATAATCTAAGATTGGCTGTGTGGTACATTTGTATATTTTATTTAAAATGGAAGAGCTTAAAAATTTACCGAGCTTTCTCAAAGTAAAAATCTTATAACTTAATGATTTGGTAAGAGATTTAATGTGGATATCCCAAGATAATCTATCATCAATTTCAATCCCTAAATATCTGATACTTCTTACTTGTTCTATTGTTTCAGTATCAATATGTACCTTCAGACTTAATTCATCGTAACCTCGTGTGTTAATACTCAACAGCATAATATTACTCTTATTAGTATTAATACGTAATCTATTTTTACAATACCATTCATTTATAGCATACAAATCTGCTTGGAGCTTAGATGTAATGATATTAATATCCATATCAGAAACATATAAGTCAACATCATCAGCGTATATATTACATGTACTTAATCGTGAGCAATCAGTTATATCATTTATAAAAACAAGAAAGAGTGACAATCTTTAAGAGAACGTGAAGCTCACAAACTTTTGTCATCTTTGTTTCTCAGCTAAAAGTCGAACGCCTCTTTAAACTAGTTGTCTTTGTTTCGAGCGAAAAAACTGTGACAAATACCCTAACTCTTGCTTGTCAAGGTAGGGTTATCAGCGGTATCAACCACAGCAAGTGAGGTCTGATACCACAGTCACTTCATCGAGGTCGACCGTCGACGTAAGAACGACGACACACCAAATAAAAATTGGGAGTTACTCGTTTCTCCAAAGTAATATTTTACATCCGAGGTATCGTTTTCCAGAAGATGAATAGCCCAGTGCATCAATATTCAAAGCATGCGATCGTACTCATAATATGTGACGTAATAACTCGAAGATGATTTCTGTCTAGGCGATACAATAGGGTATTGAAATCACTCTTAATTTTTTTTCTTGAAAGTGTTTATGATCGCTTTGACTGAGATAGCAGAAAAGATGGGAAAGACAGCGCGAAAAAAAAACCCCGATGCAATCTCCACCCATACAATATCCTCTCTTAAACAGCCCCCTCTCTGAATATTAGTGCCCCATAGTGGGTTTAATAGCCTGCACTATGCCACTGATGGTGTTAAATTTCATAAGGTGTAAAATCGAATAATTTCGTGAAGTTGTGGTTTTGAGGTAGTTCAACCTGACAATGTCATGTTAACACTTTCAGGCTCCACAGAGGTCAACATAGAATTGCATTTGTCACAATGTAGCTGTGAAATTAATTTGACATGTAATTAATATTTGACGTGTTTGATCAAAATGCATTTGACGGTTCGTGCGGTAGAATAATTGCGTTCGTCACATAGCAGCTGTACAATTCACTTGGCAGATAATGAATATTTCACAAGTTTTGAGAAAACACAGGCGTAATATTTGATGGATTTGCTCTCATTTCCCTCATTTTTCATCCGTTGTATACAAACTTGTTAATACAGGCTTTTATTTGTTTTTAGTGAAACACAAAAAAACAATAGTGATATTAAGCCCATAGATTTCTTTATTACATGCAACGGTGATGAAGGAAAATAAAAATTACTACAAAAACCATTGTGAAAAGTTTAAACGAATCATCCTCTCTTTACATCCTTCTTTGCACCGCTCCTTCTAATACCCAACCCTCCTACTTCCTCCTTCATTTCGTTTCCCCCTTCGCCGTCTCTCTCTCTCTTTTTCTCTCTCTCTCGTTTTCTCTCTCTCTCCCTATATCCGTTATCTCTTTATAAAGTCTCTCTTTCTACCCCCTCACTTCTAACCTCCCTCCTAAATCTGTCTGTCTATCTTTGTCTCTGCCCTTGCTTTCTGTTTGCCTGCCTCTTGCTATCTATCTCTGTATATCTCTGTCACTGTCTTGCTATCCGTCAGTTCCTGTCCGCGTCTATCTATCTCGCACACATACACATACGCACACGCACAAACGCACACGCGCATGCTCACACGCGCATGCTCACACGCGCAATCGCACACTCCTACAGTTGAACATACACACAAGCTATCTATCTTCTTCAAATCTATATCACAATTTTTTTTCGTTTTGCCCTTCTCTCTCTCTCTCTCTCTCTCTTACTTCAGATGATGATGGAAGAGATAGAGAACGAGTCTCCATACCCGGTCATCCCGGCACACATAGGAAAGAACTTCATTTTCAATCTGAACGGACAGGACGCGCCAGAGATCGTGCTCACGTGCCACGCTTTCGGGTACATGGAGGTATGTTTTAGGGTACATGGAGGTATGATTTAAGGATTTCTTTTGTTTAACGGATATTTAAAAAAAAGAATATTTTAAGGAGGTAGACTTCTAGAAATTTTTCCATTCTTTTGTCGGTCCCCAAAAGCTGTTTTCCCTCAAGACTTTTTGTGCCATTCTCTACCCAGATGAAGTAAATAGGTATTCAGTAGAGAGAGATTCCTTGGAAATTTAAGAGCTTTATCATGGCGGCTCAGCTACAACTGGGGGGTAATAACTTTATTTATGTTTATTTTTAAAAATTTGTATTGTTAATAATTTAAACTTAGTATCAAGTGCAGTAGGGGATATTTATAATTATAGGCGCTGCACTATATAAATGGACAGTAAAAGGACAAAAAAGGCACCCGGCAAAAACACAATCCCCCTTTTTTGTCTTGATTGTCATAGAATTTTCAGACAAAGGTCCCTTCCCTATCCCCTCCACCCATATCATAACATCCTGGATCCGCCCCTGTATGTGGATCTCCTGGGCAATCGTCAGCAGATGGGAGCTATTTTAAGGTTTTCTATATTTTCTAAAAAAGCATTTGTTGCATGGCTGAATTATTCCATTTGACCGTTTATTGCCACTGTCTCTCCCTAGGCTGTACTTATATCATATGTACATGAAAGACACGGCGGCGGGAAAATGTCGAATGGAGGGTGATTACCTGGCTATCATGATGATTTTATGTTTCTCTCTCTCTCTCTCTCCATCTCGCTTTCCATCTCTTCCTTTGTCCCTCTTTCCCACATTTTCCACATGTCTTTATCTCTCTATATTAATCCCTCTTTTTTTTTGTTTATCTCTCTGTTCTCTCTCTTCCTCTCTCCCTCTCTCCTTTCTCCTCTCACTTTCCACTCTCTCTCTCTCTCTCTCTTCTCTCTCCTCGCTCTCCCTCTTTTAACCCCTACTCTCTTATATCCCTCTCCTCACCCCAACTCTCTCCCCACCCACTCTCTTCCTCCTCCTCCTCCTGCTCCTCCTCCCCTCCCTCTCTCTCTCTCTCTCTCTCTCTCATCTCTCTTTTTCTCTCGGCTTTTTCTCTCTCACACTCTTTTCCCCTCCTTCTTCCCCTCTCTGCCCTCCCCTACCCCTCCCCTCCCCCTCCCCTCTCCCTCACCCACTCCCTCTCCCCTCTCTGCTCTTCCCTTCCCTCTTCCTATATCTCTCTTCAACCCATCTTTTTCTTTTTGAAAAGGTGAAATCGCTGTCGGCAAGTGAGCTGATCGAGTTTAAGTCCAATTCAGTGGACTTTCAGGTCGATTGCAGCGATGGACGAGCGCAAGATATCACCATCGAGCTCAGTTTTGGAAACAAGAAAATTGACATGATATGCCACGTGGACATCCCCTGCGGTGGTTCGTAATTCCAAATTATCTTAAAGTTTTGTTTGTTCGTGCTAATTTATCATATGAGTATGCCGTAACATGATTATTGCATGCTTAAATAGATAAAAAGGATGGTGATAATCATTGAAATTAACGTATTATTGGTTTACTCTGTATGAAAGTTTTGGTTTAATAAACATTTAACATTTAAAATCAATACCGTTATTTGATGGTTGTTCATAATTCGTATCTGTTACAAATAATGAAAGATAATGCTTTCGAGTATTTGAAAGAATCTCAAAGTACTAGGGATGTTCCGATGAGCTAACTATGAGTTTGGTTGAACGAATACCAATCCCATTATTTAAAGGGATTTGTTATTTATAATCATTTATATTTGTACTTTCAATACCAAGAATGCATTACAAAAAACTTTGCCCCTCTCATCAAAAGTCTTGTAAAAGAAAGACCCCCTCCCCCGAAAAATAAGTTTTTATATTAATGAAATACTTTCCTCATGACAATTAGGGGACATGTCGTAAAGGATTTAGAAGACCGATTTTTGATTGCGTTTATGCTAAGTTTTTATCTTCTTCAATCTACAGTCCAAGCTCCACCTAACACAACGTTACGAAGTCAAGCAATGGATAATGTTTACTCTAGACCAAGGTTCGTAATGATCATGGCGATTGTTAATCTAGAGCGGTTTAATTTTTGTAATAATTATTTTGTAGCATTTCTTAATTTTGATTCTGGGCAACAAAACACCAATATTCCCGTATGCTTGTACCAAAATTCTTATGCAACCTTAAAGTTAAAGGGCGTGGAAAAATTATTTTACATATATTACGAGATATCTGTGCAAAATTGTGCCTTGAACCAGACGACTTGTTCATGAAGCCGGTTATGATCATTGCTGTTTGTTGTTATAATGCGTGCATGAGCAACATTTTTATATTGCAGTACTGTTCTTTGAAATAACAGTGAAATTATTAAATGTATGCAGAGGCTAAAGAAATATCACATCTTGCTAGCATTTTAAAGCATTTATAGCGTAAGAAAACCTGCAGCAAAATACGTATCTGACTTGTAAAAAAAGATCGGAATGAAAAGAGTTAGTTAATTTGTTTTATAATAATAATAATAATTGAACTCTGGAATTGCGCAGGCTACGAATGTGTGACTGGACTTTTATCTATTTTTTAAATCCTAGTAAACCATCTCCATCATCGGACGTCGACCGGCAAAGCGACGTGCCATCCCAGGTCCTGCACGAGATCGCCGGGGAGGTGCCCCACAACTACTACATCCCTCTTGGCCTCAAGCTCGGTCTGGAGAAGGCCAAGTTGGACTCCATCTTGGTGAGCTGTGCCAACGACTCTGAGGAAGCCACGTACAGGGCCATGGAGGCCTGGAAGAACAGGATCGGGGTGGATAATCGGGAGAAACTCAAAGACATTTTGGGCGCGAGTGATTTGAAGAGGATCGCGGAGAAATTCCTGAACTGAAATGGAGGAGATGCTCGCGGTTTTTTTTCTTCAAGGGGGTGTCGAAACGTTGGGGGTAGAGGTGTGGTATGGGGCAGTTTTTAGGGGGGCTCGGCGGTTTAAACCCTCCCTTGGGCGGCCAAGTGAGAAAGAAAAAAAAGTAAACGGCGCGATTTTTGGAAAATCCTGGATCCGCCACTGGGTCGAACCACCCTGTTGGCAAAAAGCTAGATCCGCCCCTGGGGGGGGGGGGGGGGGGCTTAGTCAGTCCACACACTTGGAATTAATCAAGTTTCCACCATCAATAACATTTCCAATAAGATACAATGCTTTGATTTGTATCATGAAGCTAGTGTTTTCTTTTATGTTCAAATGTTTTTGTTTTTTAAAGTACAACACAATGTTACGTTTAGTAAGAAATCGGTGACTTTGATAATTTTCACAGGCAGAGATACAGGTCGGAGTGAAAATCGAATAAATTTGCAGGAAAACAAAAGCGGTCAGGTACAAAATGTCTGACATGACTATAATCATTATGCCCAATTGCAGTTAATACTGTCTAATTTTGACCAAAAACGAAACGAAAATTAAGACTACGAAATGTGCTAAGTATTACCAGAATTGGGCCTATATGAAGATTAAAATGGACCAAATCTGCCAGAGGTCTAACAAGGTAACACTAAACCTGGGCAATTCTGTTCTTTAAATATTGTACGCCAAAGTATAACGAGAAGAAATAGGGTCGCCTTAGTTGGTGAAGAGAGCTAAGAAGAACTCCCTTTTTTGTGACATGAGTGCTTCGTAAAATACGTGAAATATTTCGTGTGCTTTGTTGTATGCTTCATTTTTCATTTCTCCCGCTGCATTTTATTTTTGTGTGCATCAATTGCTGAAATAAAAAGAATACACATTTATTGATGACTACTGAAAGCTTCATGATTTAGTGTATTCTTGCTTTCAACGTTATAAACATGTGCATTAAACGAGTAACTTCTATTTCAAGAGTTTAATCAACATGGATAGACATCAATATAAAGAAAAAATAGAAAAACATTCGATAATTACAGAAAGAATGCCAATATCGTTCAATTCTGTGAAGATACGTAAAATAATATGCAAAACTCAGGATGCCAAAAAAAAAAAAATTGTTTACTTAAATCTTGTACAAACACTAATTTTAATAGATAAATAGAAACACAGTGATATAGATAAACATAATATTAGAGAGAGACAGAGAGGAAGAGAATTATGGAGTAAGAGGATAAATAGTGAGAGAGAGAGAGGAGGTGAGATGGGGCATAGTATGACAGAGAGAGAGAGAGAGAGAGAGTGAGAGAGGAGGAAATTAATTGTTTATGCCCTTTGTTATTAGCCGCACGGATTTGAGTTTTGTCCGACAGGAAAAAGATAGCCCCTCATCCTATTTAAAAACTGGTTTAGAAATAGTATCTGCATTAAAATATCTCACATAATTTTAAGCAAACTTTGGTCGATAAAAGTTTTTGAAGGTTAATTCCGAATTGAAAGGCACACAAATGTTACTTTCTGAAATTAATCTTGTGACACATGCTGTAATTCTGTTTTCTAAAAAAGGTCACCTTCAAAACATTATTTTGTCTCTCTTGTTCTTCTTCTTTTCTGATCATGACAGAGAATTTTTCTCTATCGTGAAAGTCTTTAGGATCTATCAAATATCAATATCCAATAAACATTTGAGAACTGAGGTACAAAGTTTTACTTTCTGCAATGAATCTCAGTCACTCGTATTTTTTTGTAAAAGAGGGTTTTTTTCTTTCGAGACCAGTCTTATGTCTTGTTTACAAAAATAAAGTCAATTAGGAAGATTTTAGGGTCAATATCCAGTGTATTTTGGAAAGACAGACAGTTCTACTTCCTGTAATGAAACTCACTAATAATAATAATAATAATAATGTAACTTATATCGTGCCAAATCCACTCTGTGGAGTGCTCAAGGCGCGTGTAAACAGGAAAAAAGATCAAGACTTGAAAAGAAATGTTTTGAGATGAGTTTTGAAAGAATCAGAGGATAAACATTTTTTGATGTCTTCAGGAAGGCCATTCCATAATTTAGGACTAGAGTATGCAAATGATCTTTCCCCCCACGTTTTGGTAATTTTGGGGGTCACAAGAAAATTGGAAGTGGATGAGCGTAGAGGTCTTGCAGGAGTGTAGTTTTGGATTAGAGAGATAAGGTATTGAGGAGCAGAGCCGTGAACGCAATGAAAGGTAAGCAACAAAATTTTGAAAACAATGCGATCTTTTACTGGGAGCCAGTGTAGCTTTACTAAGCTGTACTTTGGAACCAAATATAAGGAATACACATTTGTCTAAATTTAATTTCAAGGAATGTGCGAGCAACCAATCAAGAACATCAGCCATGCAAGATTCAAGGCGATGAACAGCTCGTTCTGCAGCGGCTTGATCTGAATTGAAGGAAATCATAAGTTGAATATCGTCTGCGTAAATATGATAATCTATGCCATGTTGTAACAAAACTTTACACAATCCAACTAAATAAATTGAGAAAAGAGTGGGCCCGCCCACAGAACCTTGTGGTACTCCACAAGAGAGAGGCAAAGCAACTGATTTGCAACCATTAATACAAACGATCTGAGAGTGGTATGACAGATAAGACTCGAACCATTTGTATGCCTCACCCTTGACACCAAGTGAACTAAGTGTGTTCAAAAGGATAGTGTGATTAACGGTGTCGAAGGCGGAGGACAAGTCTAGCAGCAGGAGAGCAGTTGAGTTACCCCTATCCATCCCTTGCAGGATATAGTTGGACACATTCACAAGCAGTGTTTCCACACTATGATGGGTTCTGTAACCTGACTGGAAAGGGTCGAACAAATCATTGTCCAGAAAATAATCCGAAAGACGAGAAAACACAACCCTTTCAAGAATTTTGAACAAAAAGGGTAGGTTTGAAACTAGACAAACTTCCAAAGAATTAAACTTATCAACCATTAAATAGGGAGAGGGAGAGATAGATAGAGAGAGAGAGAGAGAGAGAGAGATGGAGAGGGGAGAAGGGAAGAACGAGAAAGAGATAGGCCTTAGAGAGGGAAATTCAGTCAGAGACTTATCATTTCATTGAGATTAATTGATAACTGATAGTTTGCCTAACTGAAATAAGCATAATAAAGGGGGATAATCATGAAGAGCAAGTGCTAGGCTACATTAAATATGTTTCGTGAAAATGAATAGATAATGAAGGGGCTCACCGTGGTTACTAATATACATTTCAAAATCAAACAATACGAATCCCGAAGTACCAGCCTGTACTACGAACCAACGCGGACAAAGCGCACCGCGGTGAATGGGAAATCTATGAAATTATCTATTATGCTATGGATCAATGGGTTATCTTTTCAACCTCTCGTGAAAGAACAGACAGTTACTCATCATTTTAAAAAGGGTAACATCGTCATGTGTTCATCCCCCTCACCATGTTGGTGTGCTGCGAATGCCTTGTTATTGCAACACATCGAGAGATTGATAAATCGCCATTAAGACATGCCAAAGGATAAACCCGTGTTGACGCCTTTGCTTTGCGGTAAGTAGAAAGTTTCCAAAGTCTATTTCATGACACCTGTTAGGGTTATACTAGTATATTAATTTGCATAACGTTTAAACTATTAGAGATAAACTGTTTCTCTGATAATGTTTACTTTAGTATGGGTACTCGAGATTCTAGTACACGTTGCCCATAAAGTTGGAAAATATTACTAACCTTTTCTCATGAAATGAACGTGACAACATGGCCTACTTTGGGTAGATAAGGATAATAATTATATTCTCTGTACTGTATTGACCTCTGGGACTCTTTAGAGTGATCAATAGCGTTTTGAGAAGATAAAAATAAATCACATTGTCGCAATAATTTCATGAAAATAGGCCAGAAAAGAATATGCCAACTTTATAGGCAACAGTGTACTATCCCATAATGCAAACGTACTTGCTGTGTTTTTAAATGATAATTGTGAGTCATTTAACATGTTAGTACAGTTTAATAGCAATATGTGCCAGTTACAAATGAGAAAACAAGTAAAATGTCAGTAGAAAACTGCAAAATGGTGATCAGTAAGAGGTATAAAGAATATACTCCCCATATAGCTCCATTTAGTCTCATTTGACAACGCCCCCTATCGTCAAAGTCAGCAGCCTGTTAGCCTATGGACTTTTACCGCCCCCCAAAAAAAAATCGTTATAAATTTATTTTTTGTTTAAACGAAAAGCACATCCACCCCGACGTACGTTATCACTAGCTCTTTCATTGGAACCCTTATGTCTCATTGAATTTGAAAGTTGACCTACCGTAATTTCATCAAAATAGGTCGCAAGCTCGCCATTGCCTACATAACACATGTACAGCAAGTCGAACTTTGGACTCAATTTACCACGCGATTGTAAGGTTATAAGTCAAGCACACGAAGGATAAGAAGCATGAATTATCATAGATCCGTTTTGATTTGTTCATTATGTCCATTTCATCCAACCCCCACCGTAATTTTTCCATTTAGTAGAGGCAAGCATTTTGCCGAGGTAAGCAAAAACATGAATATTCATGTACGGTCAGACAATACAGCCTTTTAGTACGTAACGTATAGTGAATGGGAATGGCAATGTTCCAGCGAGCGAAAATGAGACAACCGGATCAATATGCTTGTTTTCGTCGTGAGTTGCTGGCTCTCGAGATTTTGGCCAGGTAGTTAACCTTGGTGTTATAGCGTTTTGCTGAAGTTACACGCATGTGTTTATCAATAATTGATTGATTTATTGTTGGTTGGCTGAGATAAAGCCAGCGATTTTGTTGGTAAATGGTTGTCTTTTTGCACCAGTTTTAGAGTGTCTTGTAGTTAGACTAGCTTGTAGTTTTGTTGCTTTAGTCACTGTTCATGTGTATCACCCACCCGGGTAGAGTTAATAACCCACCGGGTAGAGTTAATGTTAGTCTGCATTTTCAGACGCGTTTGACATTAAGAAATATTCACATTTGTCAAAAGAGAGGAACGACTTAAAATTACAAAACGGATCACCTTATTCTTCTCAACGACGAATTAAAGTCTACTTTATTCTCATTATTGCAATGACGATAATCGTCATTGCCTTGTTTTCGTTCACATTCTGCCCCATTAATATTCTTCTTCTCCGTCTTCGTGTTGTTTTCGTCAGGAAATCGCATTCGTATTGCACGTAGTGCTTGTAATCATTAGTTATGCCTTTTCCTCATGTCCGTTTCCTTTAAAATTTCATAGGCATAGGCATCTCATCAAGGTCACTACATTCTTCGATTTTTGAAATCACTCATGCATAACCGTCCAGGCGCCATTTTGTCCGTATCTGGTCCGTTTTAAGGCCTTTCTTTCTTCCTTCCTATCTCCACTATCCTAGTTCCTACAGAGTTCTAACAAATTCCTCTAAATAATCTAAGATATGTTCTTTCATCTGCAACGAATAAGCTGACCGTCAAAATGCCATCTTCGCACTGCAAATTCAAATCCAAAACCGACTCCGTGAAAAATCTCTAAAATTTTTGAAAAATGGACCGCACAAAAAAAAAAAATTGCCATAACTTTTTCATACCATTTCCGTTTCGTCTCAATTTCTTGCAGTATCTTTAACTTATAATTGCACATAGCCTCGCTAAATTTATTGCTCCAATGAATATGCAAATAATTAATAGCGCCCTGAAATTTTTTGAAAATCGTCAAGGGGGCCAATTAAGACGCCATTATACTCTGCATGACTGTGTTAGTATGGGCGGCTGTTTTGTGCCACAGCACGCGTCACCACATGTTCATCATGCACCAAATCCTATTAGTTTTCACTCGGTGCTTGCGAGCCCTTTCTATGTCCCTTTCTCTATTCCAATTCCCTTTAAACTTCGTAGGCATAGTCTATAGCATCCCTTCAAGGTCATTTCATTCTTCGTAATCCCTCATGCATGACCGTTCAGGCGTCATAATGTCCGTTTCGGGCCCTTTTGGTGGCCTTTCTTTCGCCCTACCTATCTCCACTATCACAGAACCTACATATTTCTACATACTTACAAATTGCTGTAGATAGTCCGAGAGAAGTTTTTTCATTTGAACCGTATAATTAATACGCACATCGTTGTGACACGATTGCATGTCTAGTAATTATTATTTTCATTGTCTCTTTTTAACATTCAGGTAGTTTAAACTAGTCCATTAAAGACCACGGACCGAACCGAATCGTCATGGCCAAGGCCATCGAGCACGGGTTAAAGAAGATCAACGAGATCTACGACCAGGGCGATCTCTTGTGCGAACTCAACAGGACGAACATCCTAACCCGACAAACCGATGACGGAGGCCAAGCCTATGGTAAGATCAACGTCGTCAAAGGAACGCAGTGGGACCCCATCAAGATTTCCAAGGATGTTCTGCTGGAGAAGTGCAAGCTGCTTGGGTCAGATCAGATCGTTGGTGTGGTCTCCGGGAAGAGGTTGAGCGTATACGACACACATGGTCACCACGTGCAGCTGATAGACGTCCAGAAGAAAGGTAAAGTCAAGACTGTTGAGAACATTAATGCCCTTGCAGTAATCACGGACAAGATCCTTGTTGCAGAATCGCAGCGTTACGACAATCTTATCCATGTGGTTGAGTACCCTACTGGAGAGGCTATCATGTCATTGTCCATTGATCAGAATGTTACTGGAATGATCCCTATTAGAACAGGTCTTGTTCTTGTAAGGTAAGAATCAGCAGTTTATACATTTTTAGTTGATTGATTACAAAGATAACCATATCCACAGCACAGTCAGAAAAACTCTATCAAGAAGGGATAAGATTGGACTGCTATTATAGTCACATATCTAGCAATGGAACACGGAGGTTTGTCACGTTTGTTTCGTAACATTGTGCGTAATGAAGGAATAACAATCATTATTGTGTACTTCCCATGGAATGTGAACCTGAAGGTTTCTCACCTGGGTATATCTATCAAAAACGGTTATTTCCTAAGCGAGCAATTTTTAAATAGACCCACACTCCAATACAGGTGAAAATTAATATCTTTAAGAGGAGATCCGCCACTTTCTCACGTTACCTTTGCTATGGGCTTTTTTTCTTCCTTCAAATCAGAGATTACATGTTTATAGCTTAGGTTGCGATTGGTTCCAGGTATAAAGTTAGGAATTCGATTAACTAACATGCGATATTGACCACGGAGTCATTTTTGCCCCTTTTTTCCCAATCATAGCATGCTGCAAAATTTCTAATAATCACCAATGTACCAACCATTTCACCATTTCTGGCTGACCTATCACGTGTCAGCTAGATCTTTCATACACCAGACAACAAGTTTAAACCGATTATTAAAAGCTACATCAATTGCATTAAGTAGAGTTGCCCAAAGGGCAGTACATCCCCATTTGCCATTTACCTATTGTTAATGTACCCAAAGAGATGTCTCTGGTTATCAATTTTAAAGATCGAAAGAGAAGATCCAGGCTGTCGACTATGCACATTACCCCCGTGTGGACATCACTGAGGTCATCAGCTATGGTCGGACCTTGGTCAACATGTGCGTCAAAGGAGGAAACGATGAGCTCTATGTTATGTTCGTCAAGGGAATCACGCCGAAGGTATTGTAGGAGAAACAAGTGTCTGTAAAAATGTAGGAGAGAATTTACAAAAAAGATAATTTGAAACAAAAAATTGATTAACAAATTTGGTAGCTGTGTTATTTCTTTTATCAAAATATCGATATCAGACGGCGTTGAAAAAAACATCGTACGATTAGCCCCACAGTGTCATTTGTTTTAAAGTGTGTAGGGTTGGTTATTGCAATCTTGTTATATATATTTCTTCACTTAGTTTCTGATTCTAACGCCCCTTTAATTTAAATATTGATCATATTCTTGGTCAAATTGGTCTACCGTCAGTAGATGCATTAAAGTACGCCACGGGCCTTTTTGCCCTTCATATTTCAGTTGTTAGAAAGGTAAAAAGGGATGGCCACATTATGATTTCATGCAGCTCTGATTCACGGAATCGAATCTACTCAAGCAACGTTGTACTTATTGGATTGTTTTCAAGTTAAAGAAAAACACAAATTTTCTATTATTCCTGTTATTCTATTAATCAAGAATACTTTGACTTTGTTATCCAAAGATTCTTGAGATCCACGTGCTTGGTGATAAATACCAGGAGTTGCACAAGACAAAGATCACTCATACAACCTCCATCTTGAGTTTGAGGGCGGTCTATACGTCACAAGGCCCAGGCTTTCTCGTGATCCAGATGGGAAGTACCATCTCCACTTTCAAATGTTCATTTGGACTTCGTCAGTAAGTTTTGTGATACTACTACTACCACCACCAGCACCATCACCACTACTGAGACCATTAATGTTACTGCTAATACCTCTACTATTACTATACCACTGGAATAAAATTTGAAATTTATATAGCACCTTTTCCACTTGATACAAAGCTCTTTGAGATGCCATCCATGGCATATGGCATGTCAGCATTCGAGTTAAAATATATACCCATGCAGTGTCAGTGTGATTTCAATGAATGCAGATGAGAAGGTGAAACATTGAATATAATTAGACTTGTAAATTACCATGTCAGGTCTGTTTTATTGTATAAGTTGTATGGAGCAAAAACAATGACATTGACAAGAACTACTGAAGAGAAGTTCCCTTCATTTGAAAATTGGGTGTAAAGGAGAATGATGAGTATAATGGAAAGATTTGAAAACCAACTTAGGAATACTGCATATTGTAGAACCTTAACACAGGTAATATGATAAGAATGTTTGGAAAATAAAGGCGAACTACTTTGGCAATAGTAAAATACATTAGGGTCTCTTGAAAGATTTGTTGCAAGGAATGGTAGAAGATGCCAGACCAAGAGGTAAACCAAGAACCAACTGGGAGGTCTTGCGGGAAGAAAATGTTGCAATCAATCTCCAAGCTGGGAGAGGATACCTTGATAGATAGATATGTCTTCAAGCTCTTTTTGAACTGTCCTACGGTTGATGGTACTTTGATGTAGGGGCCTCATATGACATTCAGGGTGCCGTTCAGACCACGAAGGCGGGGGCTGGAGGGGGGGGGGATGGGGTATCGAATTTTAACATCTAATCGTAATCAGCAGGCTTGCTGCAATCATTGTCAAACATGTCACATTACATACTTTCTGTTTTTTGATTTTCTTACAGGAAAGGTCCACCTAAAAAGAGTCATTTGGTGCCTCCCCCGAAAAAGAAATATTACGACAAGAGAAAGTTCCAACCCTCTCCCACCCCCAAGCCTGACACCGGAATAGAAAACTCGTCTCAGGATGAGGAGTAAACCATTTTTTATTCATAATTCATTCATTCAGTCATCTTGAATAATTAGACTTTATCGAAGGTTATAAAAATATTGAAATTAAGAAATAGAGCTGTAAAAGGATTGTACATCTATATCTGACATCTCATGTCCCTGACATTACGGTCACTTGAAATATGATATTTATACTTTTGTGAGGAATTAGTTAAGAATGCTATCCATACCATATAATCCTGGCTGTTTCCCCAGATTCATGTAAACTGCCTTTCAACAAAGCATCATCAAGCTTTCAGGGCATTAATACATTCTTGTTTATTAACGTAACGTTTAAATAATAACTTCGCCACGGGGCATTCAACGATTATTAGCAAATTCAAAATAAGCACCATTAGAATTGTCGTTGATATCATTACCTATACTGAAACCCTAAACACAGTAGGCTTAATACAGGGCCAACCCGTTTCCGGTAGGCAACGGGTTAAAACAAATGACACCTTTGCATTTCCTTTTATATCAGAGACACAGATGAAGAAGATTCAGTGGCGAATATGAAATCATTCATCGTCGCTTCAGAAGATATTAAGAAGAGTGAGAAAGAAAAGAGGTACGAACAGTATGCATCATGGACCCCATTGGTACATAGTTCTATTTTTAAGCCATATTCTTTTAAAATGTCTAAACAATAATCATGGCAATCGTTACATGCCAAGCGCAACAATTTAGCTCCAACGGTGATAGTGTATTTTGTTTAGTGTGGTACGCTTGCCAATTTTCAACTTTTTCGCTTCCAATTTTCTTGAAATATTGATTGTGAAAGAACAGTCCTATCGATGAGACCGATTAACCATATACCTTTAAAAAAGAAAAAAAGAAAAAAAAGAAAGTTATTTCATTCCTTGTTTTTTTAGCAAACAAAACACAATTTCCTGTAGACTATATCATATATTGTAACACAATCAATGTAATTATTCCACTCATAACAAAAGTCCGGGAGAAGATGTTGCACCTGAAAAGAGAGAGCTGGGAAAACAAAAGTCATATCCGGCAGATAACCAAAAGCCGAAGCTTGCGTCACCCAAACCCAACCGGAACATACAGAACAGTACCGCATCACAGGAGAAAAATAAAATGTCTTCTACTACGAAAGACACGAAAAAAGGGTAAGTATCATTTTCAATCTTTAGCGAGCGCCACTGTAATACTGCAACTTATGAAACTGTTGAAAAGAACCTGCAGTTTATTCATTCAAATTTGTATGTAAAGTGCATTGCAACTGCAAGAAAACGAAATCATTAAGATATCTAACCTTGTTCATTGGAACCAATTTTTGTAAAAAAATTCTTTTCATAAACATATTCCTATATATTATTTTTGCGCTATATCCCCGCCTCTTCCCGTATTTTCTATGCCACTAAACCAGCCTGTCCATTCGGACCATTCATTTTGAAAGGATACCTTGCACTTTGTTGGGGTGATACAGATTACTTGGTCCTCAAGAAGAACAGCATTGATGCTGATGAGGCTTCCATGGTTAAATAAAGTTACTATTATTACTGTTATTTATTAATAATTGTTCTCTCTTCCTGTATCTCTCATGAATAAGAGGCCAACAAGAAACAAATCAGATGCACAAGATGCCAGGTAGGCACCACTTTCTTTCAATCTTAAATAAAATAGAATAGTTCTTAGGTAGTACCATAAATTCGGCAACATTCTTGGGTATGAGAAATGGCGGCTTATTCAACAACTTTTAGGAAATATTAACCGCACAAAAAAAAAATCATTATGTTTGAAAACTTTCTTCTCTTGAACGACAACAAGATGGAAGTGCTACACCTGTTTTCTCACCGAATAAGAAATACAATAGAACTCCCTCCGATTAAAAAAACAAATGGTTCTGTAAATTCCTCCAAAAAAGTTGTTAACTTAGGTGTCACGTTAGATCAAAACCTTTCAATGCGCCCCCATGTAAATAGTATCTGTCGTAAAGCATCCTTCGCCCTGAGAAAAATTGATAAAATTCGTAAATTCCTTTCCAAGTCATCCATTGAAATCCTCGTCCACGCATTTATCAGTTCACTCCTTGACAGTTGTAATAGCTTGCTCCATGGAATTCCGGAAAAAGATATGGCCAAGCTGCAAAGAATCCAGAACTCTGCAGCACGTCTAGTGTCTCTCACCAAAAAACATGACCATATTACACCAACCCTTAAACAATTGCATTGGCTCCCCATTCAATTTCGCGTCCAGTTCAAAGTTCTTCTTTTAACCTTCGAGTCTCTTCATGGTCATTCCCCAAATTATCTTTCTGAGCTGATTCAATTATACTCACCCAATAGGCCCCTTCGTTCTGCAAATCAAACTCTCTTGACCGTTAAAAAAGCAAAAACAAAATACTTTGGTGATAGGTCCTTTTCATGCTCTGCTCCACGTCTGTGGAATTCTCTCCCAGCCTCCATTCGTTCCATCTCTGATATTACTTTGTTTAGATCAAAATTAAAAACCTACCTAATGGAAAATGCATATTCAACCTAGCTCTTAAATTGTTACCTAGTTCTTAAATTGTTACCTAGTTCTTATATTGTTACCTTACCTTGTTATCTTATGTTTCATAATTTCACTTTATATTTGTTTTCTTGTCATTACTCTGTTTTATAGTTTTAATTGTATCAATATTGTAAAGCGCTTTGATATAAATGTTTTATGAAAAGCGCTATATAAGTAAAAGTTATTATTATTATTATTATTATGTTCAAAGTTAGACCATGTTCATTCAGAGGTATATCAACATAATAAGATTTAGGTTTTAAATGTTGACGACTTGTTCACAATCATCATGATAATATGTTATTGTGTTTTCAGGTATGCTAATTTGTTGTTGATGTACAATAACATCATGCTAGAAAACGCATAAATTGATGCTTTACTCTAAAAAGATGACCAATAATGTTTATTGGTGAGGGGTAAAGCCTACATAATGATAAACTGGATATACATACATACATATTCGCATATATTTCAGGATTACAAGTTGGGGAATAAAATCGACCTTGATTTAAGATACAGCAATAATGTTTCCTTTCAGATGTGCAACACGATAAACCAGTCTTCGAATATAGCGATATTGATGAGGAAGGAGGTGAGATCATAAACAAAGAATATGGAATTTCCCTCCTCATCCAACCAGGCGCCATCGAAAAGGGCCAACGCAAAATAATAGGCGTGGGACTATCACGAGAAACACACACCAGTGGCGCATCGGCGGGAGGAGTCAGCATCTCGCCGGTGATCTGCTCCGAGCCTTCGGGGCTAGAACTGGAAAAGCCGGCACGGATTATCCTCCAGCATTGCCTCAGCTCGTGGTCGGATGATACGCATGTCAACGTGCATGAATTGGTCGACGACGCCCAGAGACGCGACCGGGGAGTGAATGATAAAGGAGGTGCTCTTACAAATCTTTCATTAATTTTGAGGGAACTTGCGTTATGAGATATTTCTCCTAATCATAGTCCTACGCCATTTAAATTATTTGTACATCTGCAAATTACATATGTTAGTTTCTATCACTAAGTTAAAAAAAAAACCTAAATATATATTTCGGAGCGGGAGACGGGGGGGAGGGGGGGGGGGGTCTTGAACAGTCCTTTCACAGATGCGATTTAGTATACATGACTCAATATTCTTATTTTTGTATAAAGACTTTTATAAGTAATGATAATACAAAATATCGCATTCTATTATTTCCTCAATATTGCTCGTCATTTATAACGATACATTTTAAGGCCCTTCCTGACACTAATTTACATTGACCTTTTCTCTCTTTTTTTTGGGGGGGGGGGGAATGGGGGGGGGGGGGGGGCGATGGAGGGGTAGTAAACACCTGTCACATAGAAGGTGTCAATAAGCATTTTTTTTTTAATTAAAAAAAACATGATCACCACATCGAAATATATGAGCATTATTTCCCTTTCCCGTTTAGTTTGGTGCAATACATACCATTTCAATTTAATTCAATCGTCAGCAAAATGTTCGATTGGGAAGAACGGCGAGGTAACGCTCGATGTGACACGGCTAGGAAGGTACGCCTTGACGGTTATGGGTAGTGATGTTAACAAGAAGCTCGTCTGCCGTCCGTTCATCCCCAAGAGAATGCCGTCCACGAAGAAACCCATCATCAACGTCCTCATCTACGACTTCACTGACGGTATGAAGAAGGTAATGATATCATAATTTATCTTATACGATTGCCAGAAGAAGGGGATTTCTTTATTCTAATATCAAAAGGTAGTCATGGTGTTGTTGTTAAAGTTGGTGATGGTGGTCGTAGTGATGATGATGATGATGATTAAGATTGATGATAATATGACAACGATGATGAAAATAATAATGGTTGTGATGATGATGATGATGGTGATGGCGCTGGTGGTGGTGGTGGTGGTGGTGGTGTTGGTGGTGGTGGTGGTGGTGGTGGTGGCGATTAGTATGACTATGATTATCATCATGATTATAATAAAGGTGAGGATTATGATTAGGTCCATCCCCCTCCCTGAATAGCAGTGCCCCTTAGTGGCTGAGCCTACACTGTGCCACTGATCGTGTTTACTCTTCAATGCGTACAATCGAATCATTTCGTAAAGTTGTGGTTTTGAGGTAGTTCAACCTGATTATGTAATGTCTATAATTTCATGCTCTACAGAGCTTAAAATAGAATAGCATTTGTCACGATGTATAGCTTTGAAATTAATTTGACAAGCAATAGATATTCGACATGTTCAATAAAAATACATTTGACGGTTTGTGTGGTAGAATAATTGCAATCGTCACATAGCAGCTGTAAATCCAATTGACAAATAATTGATAGTTCACAACTTTTTAGAAAACACCGGAGTAATATTTGATGGATTTGCCATTCTAGCCCTCACTTTTGATCCTTTCTATGTAAACTGGTAACAGGCTTAAGCTTGTTTTTAGTGAATCACACAAAACAATAATGATAAGCCCATATATTTTTGTATTACAAACAAAGATGATGAAGGAATATAATAACTACTACAAGAGCCATCGTGGACATTTTAAACAATTTACCCTCTGTTTCCATTTTCTCTCTACCCCTCCCTCCGATACCCAACTCACCTCTTTTCTTCTTCATATCGCTTTCCTATCCCCCTCCTCGTCTCTCTATCTATCCCTCTCTCTCTGTCTCTCCCCATCTCTCTCTCTCTCTCTCTCTCTTTATCGCTCCTACAAATCTATTTCTATCCGCCATCTCCCTATATATATATATATGTGTATATATATATATATAAAGTTCCTCATTCTACCCCTCACTTCTTCCCTCCCTCCTCAATCTGTCTGTCAATCTCTGTGTCTGTCCGTGCTGTATGTATGTCTGCCTTTTTCTGTCTATCTCTGTATATATCTGTAACTGTCTATCTATCACACACACACACACGCAACACACACCCACACACGCACACACACAAACACACGCACATACACACACACACGCACATGCGCGCACGAACTCTATCACGTGCACACATAGCTATCTATCTTCAAATCTATTTCACACTTTTTTTCTTTTTCTTCACATTTTTTCTCTTTCAGATGATAATGGAAGAGTTAGAGAATGAGTCTTTAAACCCAGTCATCCCGGCACACAGAGGAACGAACTTCGTATTCAATCTGAACGGACAAGACTCACCAGAAATCTTGCTCACCTGCAACGCCCTCGGTTCCAGGGAGGTATGTTTGAGGGTTTTTATTTTTGTTTGAAGGAATTATTTTTGTACTATTTGAAGAAGGTAAAGTTCTACAAAACTTTCTATTCTTTTGTCGGTCCCCAAAAGCTATTTTTGTTGGTGCCACTCTCCACCCGGGGGGAAGTAAATGGGTATCTAGTAGGAAGAAATTCCTTGCATATTTCAGAGCCTTATCATGGCGGCTGACCTACAGTCGGGGGGTAATAATGAATTATTATTTAGCGCAGTATAATAGAGGATATTTATATAGGCGCTGCACACTATAAATGGGCAGTAAAAGGACAAAAAAGGCCACCGGCCAAAATATGATACCCCCTTTTTTCTTGATTGTCATGGAATTTTCAGACAATGAACCCGCCCGGCCCCCACCCCCCCCCCCTCATGTACTATATATATCCTGGATTCGCCCCTGTATGTGGATCTCTTGGGCAATCGTCAGCAGATGGAAGCTTACACAAAATGTTTTCTATACTTTTCGGAAAAAGCATTTGTTCCCCTTTTCTCTCTCTCTCTCTCTCTCTCTCTCCCCCTCTCTCTCTCTCTCTCTCTCTCACTTACTCTCTTTCCCTCCCTCCCCTTCTCTCGCCCTCTCTCTACCCCTCCCCTACCCTCTTCCTATATCTCTCATTAACCCATCCTTTCTTTTTGAAAAGGTAAAATCGCTGTCGACATGTGAACTGATCGAGTTTACGTCCAATTCAGTAGACTTTCATGTCGATTGCAGCGATGGGCGAGCGCAAGATATCACCATCGAGCTCAGCTATGGAAACAAGAAAATTGACATGATATTCCATATGGACATTCCCTGCGATGGTACGTAATTCCAAATTGTCATAAGGTTTTGTTCACTCATGCAAATTTATCATTATCAGCATTCGCTACAATATGATTGTTGCATGCTTAATAAGAGAATGATTTTACTGATACTCCTTGAAATAAACATAGTATGTGTATGCCTCTCATAACATTTCTGGATTTCATAAACATTTAAAGGTAGTGTCCCCCTTTTGCAGCCAACATCAAATTCTGTAGAACTTTGCATAAATCATGAATATGTCACGTCGGATGTATTATTTGTGAAATTTAAATGTTAGCCGCGCCTAGTATTCAAATTATGCAAGGAAACCCGTTTTCTTTCTAGACTTCACTGTTTAACACTATTGAGTGACGGACTGAATTATTTTTCTCTTTGGTAATAACATACATAAAATGAGCTGTAAATGGTAAATAATAATTTATCTACATCAATAATCCAAATGGCCAAAATTAAACTGATTGAATCCTTGAGCAGCACAAAACGTACGACCATTCGGTACAAGAGTCTGAAAATAAGATTATTTAATTAAACGACCGTAATCGCTAAATTTGATTCGACAACTAACCTTCATTATTCTCCCACAAAAAGACAGTTTCAAGCCCTTTTTTAATGGAGGGAAGTTAGTCTTATCTTTCGAATGCCGTTGGAATTCAATCTTTTCATTCTGTTGGCCTGCAAATGGGACATAGTACCTTTAACATATCACATGAATATCGTTTAGGATGGTTTGTCACATTATAGTAACAGTTCAAATACAAACAGTGAAAGCTATTTACACTTTTGAATATTCAGTTGAATTTTAAAATACTAGGAATTGTGCCATTTCCTAGATATAAGCTTGGTCGAACGAATACCAATCTCATTATTTACAGTGATTCGTTATTTATAATCATTTATATTTGCACTTTTAATACCTATAATGCATTTGTTACACTTTTAGTATCAAACAAGCCCCTCTCGTCAAAAGTCCTGTAACGAAAAGACCAAACAAAACAGTATAATAATCAATCAAGGTATATTAGGTTTTTTCTCATGACAAAGGGACATATTGTAAAAGATTTAGAAGACAGATTTTCATTGCGTTTATGCTACGTATTTTTCTTCTTTAGTCTACAGTACCAGCTCAATATATCACACCTGTACTAAATGTTGACCGTAGTAGACCAAGGTACGTAATGATTATGGTAATTGTTAACCTAGACTGGTCCTAATTCTTACAATAATTATTCTGTAGCGCAACTTCAATGCTGGGCAACAAAACACCAACGTTTCCGTACGCTTGTATATTAAAATTAGAAATTGACATGCTACCTTTTAGTTAAAGGTTGTCGAAAATGGCATATTTCAATCGTTGAATCCCTGTACTTTTGTTGTTAAACGTATATTATAAGATTATTTTCTTCTTCTTTCTTGCACAATGAAGAGCCTTCTCATTTCCGCCACTGGGTCTTCCAGTCAGCATTGGTCATCTAGGAGTGGGTATCTTTATAGGTGTGACATAGATTGCACAGATGTTCCACACTCGCAGCCAGTGTCTGTGTCATCTATGTATCCCCATTCATGCATATTGTATTTGCATCGCCCCACCCCTGTGCGAAGCCTATTGAGGGACTTCCACGTCTTCCAGTCACACATATGGCCAGGTGGCAGTTGTTCCTTGGCCGGGATTTGTAGCTGTACATGGTGGTGGTTTTTCACAAAGTTTTTCTTCCCACAAGATCACCCTGGTTGATTGGGGAGGTCGTGATAGTGACTGGACTGTATGAAGGCGGGTAGGGGCCGGTTGAAGGGGATGGCAGGTGTCCTCAACTTGCAACTGTTCTGCGGACATCGGATGGATCAATTCAAGCAAGCTGTCCACATTCATGGGCTTGAGTCAGCCAATGATGCATCTGCAGCTGTCATTGAGTGCTGCATCAACTTTCTTTTCATGGGATGATCTTTCCCATACAGGGCAGGCATATTCTGCTGCAGAGTCGCACAATGCAAGAGCGAGTTTGCGTTGGAGGTTGTTCCTTGTCCTGACTTTACCCTTCTTTACCTTCTGAACATGCTGTTTGCATGAAAGGGTTCGATCAAGAGTGATTCCAAGGTAGACAGGGTGATCACAGTGTTTCAAGGAGACACCGTTCCATTTCAGGGACAGCTTCCTCCCAGCATAGTGGTTGCGGAGATGGAACGAGATAATCTTTGTCTTGGCAGGGTTAACCTTTAGTTGGTTGTTGTCGTAGTAGTCTGCCGGATTTTCTAGGGCTGATGAAAGGGTGGCTTCTATCTTGTCTTTGTAATAACTCTGGGCTGCTATGCCAAGGTCATCAGCAAAGATGAAGCTCCTTGTCCCTAGGTACACTGGCTGGTCGTTAGTGTAGGCATAAAAGAACACATGAGCAAAAACACTGCCCTGTGGTAGATCATTCCTGTGTTTTCTCCATCTGCTGCGTTTCCCGTTGAGCTCAACTTAGAAGCGTCTATTTTCCAGGAGCATTTGGATAACTTAGTCAGATGGGAGTCCTTTGTCGGTGGTTCACATTACCGTAGGCAGCTAGCTTTCAGATCGACGAACACAACTCCAGTCGGTTTATTCTTCTCAAAATTCTTCTTTGGAGTTCCAAGTTGTTAAAGTAGATTCTGTGTCACCCTTTTGCCAAGTATTCCTTTTGTGGCGTTTCTTTTGTGGTGATTTGCCATTTAGGTGAAATTGGTGGGCAACCTTATCTGCATTAACATTATAATGGAGTGTAGTCTTCTTGGAATCGTTGCTGATTTTCTTAATGGTAGACTAAGCACTCTTACTGTTGTGTGTCATATCAACACCCTCAATAATATCTTGCCAAGACTCAAAAGATATCATGACGAGTGAAAAACGTATCCGACGTGTGAATAAAGACCGATTTGGACCGAGTTCTTTATTTTTGTTTTACCTACTTTTCATTCCAGTAAACCACCTGCATCATCGGACGTGCCATCCGAGGTCTTGCACGGGATCGCCGGGGAGGTGCCCCACAACTACTACATCCCTCTTGGCCTCAAGCTTGGTCTGGAGAAGGCCAAGTTGGACTCCATCTTGGTGAGCTGTGCCAACAACTCTGAGGAAGCCACCTACAAGGCCATGGAAGCCTGGAAGAACAGGATTGGGGTGGACAATCGAGAGGAATTGAGCGACGTTTTGGTCGCGAGTGATTTGAAGAGGATCGCGGAGAAATTCCTAAACTAAAATAGATCGAAGATATGCTCGTGGTCATTTCAAAACCCTTAGAGTAGAGGGCAGGAGGATGGGGTGGGATTGGAGGTAGTCAGTCCAAAGCCTGAAGACTTTGAATTAATCAAGTTTCTTCGAGAGAGTTGCGACTAAAATACTAATTGCCTTAGTATTATCTTTCAAATGCCGTTGGAATTTCAAGTCAGTCAAAAGACCTTGAATTAATCAAGTTTCTTCGAGAGAATTGCGACTAAAATAATTAATGCCTTTGCCTCTTTGATCGTTTAATTACTAGTCCCTATATGGGGCTATGGAGGTGTGGAAAACAGGATTAGGGTGCACAATCGAGGGAACTGAGAGACATTCTGATCGGTAGTAATTTCAAAAGATACGCTGATAATTTGTTGAACTCAAATATACAATATTATCATTGTTCTCTTGTGGCGTATCAATTATCAAATGCCATTGGAATATAAATTCATTCATACTTTGAATTAATAGATTTTTTCGAGAGAATTGCGAATAAAATAGTTAATGCCTTTGACCCTGTAATCGTTCGAATACCAGTCTCTATATGGGGCTATGGAGGTGTGTAAACATTAGTATTGGGGTACACAATAGAGGGAACTGAGAGACATTCTGATCGGTAGAAATTTCAAAAAAGACGTTGATAAATTTTTGAACTGAAATATAAAATATCATCATTGGTCTATTGTGGCATGTCGATTATGAGAAGGGGGCAGACTTTCTAAATAAATTTGAAATTAACAGCGTTTTCGATGGATTTTTTGGATTGTTCAAAAGCAACTTAAGGACTTTATATAACATACAAGACATTGTTTAGCAAATGTGTATGGTGTCAACAGATTTTTGTCATTTGTCGTTTAAAATGTCTTGGTGTGGTGTCGTTTTTCGTGTTTGTGTGCAAAGAGAGTGTAATTTCTATGACCCCTTCCGCCCGTGCAAGCCAGGAAGCATTAAGTTTACCAACGAGATCCAATTGTATTATATTGAAATCATGTATCAAGTGTTTTTGATGTTCAAATTGTTTAACAACACAAAATCAAAGCGAAATATTACCAGCATCGGGCTTATATGGAGATTAAAATACACGTAATCTGTCAACGTTTCAACAGGATCTTACTGAGGTCGGGCAATTTTGTTCAATGAAACATTTTACGCGGGAGTAGAAGTAGAGTCGCCTGAAAGTTGGTGAAGGAATTTTTCCTTGTTTGTGTGTGACACAAGTAATGCTACAGTCATTCAATTACATATGTGTGTGTGTGTGTGCTCTGTTATATGCTTCATTTATTTTTCTAGCTGCATTTTATCTGTGTTTGCATCAAATGCCAAAATAAAAATAATAAAAAATATATGATAATGTATTCTCATTTTCAAGATAATAAACTTATGTATGCAGATTAAATGAGTAACTTCCTATGGAGATTGAAACGTACTAAATTTGTCAGAGGTTGAAGAGGATCTTACTAAGGTCGGGCGTTTTTTACAAATATTTTATGCTGAAGTCTAACGAGAAGAAGTAGAGTCGCCTGAAAGTTAGTGAAGAAACAAGGAATTTCCTTGTTTGTGTGTGACGCGATTACTGCTGCAGTCATTCGTAAAATTTGTGTGTGCTCTGTTATATGCTTCATTTAAAAGAAAAATTCTAGCTGCATTTTCTTTTTTTTGCATCAAATGCTGCAATAAATCAGAACAAATTCATTTAAAACTGAGAAAAGCTTCTTGATTAGATAATGTATTCTCGTTTTCAAAACATTAAACTTATGCATGCATATTCAACGAGTAACTTCCTATGGAGATTAAAATGTACAAAATATGTCAAAGGCTGAACAAGGTCACACTGAACTTGTGCAATTTTGTTTCAAATATATCACGCTAATGTACAACGAACGAGAAAAAGTAGATTCGCATGAAATCGGTGAAGAGACCTACGAAAAATGTCCCTTTTTTGTGACATGAGTGCTTCGTAAAATACGTGAAATATTGTTGTGTTCTCTGTTGTATGCTTCATTTTTCATTTGTCCCGCTTCTTGTGTGCATCAAAATGCTGAAATAAAAAGAACACAGATTTATTGATGACTACTGAAAGCTTCATGATTTAATGGTGACTTCTCATTTAGATTATTGTAACGGATTGTACTTTGGCTTACCCACTTCCACCATTTCTCCACTCCAACGTATTCAGAACATGGCAGCCCGTCTCATTACCAAAACCAGAAAATATGAACACATAACTCCTATTCTTAGATCTCTTTATTGGCTACTTATTTTAATTCGCATTCAATTTAAGATTCTTTTGTCAGTATCTAAAATTAAACATGGTTATGCTTCATCATATTTAAACGACCTTCTCAAACCTATTGTTCCATCAAGTTGATTACGGGCAACTACACATGCTAATTTCCAATACGCCCCTGGTCCCCGAACCAATACCCGTTACGGAGATCGTACTTTTGCTATTGCAGGCCCTAAATTATGGAACAGTTTACCAATTATTATTCGTCAATCCCCATCTGTAGAGTCTTTTAAGGCAGGTTTTGAAGTATTTTGTGTTTAATAGTAATTTATAGGGCAGTTTTTAAATATCTGTAATGTTATTATTAGAATTATGTATTATTATTGCTTTATGTTTATTTTACGTTGTACCTTATATTAAGCGCTTTATAGAAACATTGTATTAAGCGCTTTATAAATGTATTTTGTTATTATTATCATTATTATAAACATGTGCATGCAGGTCAAACGAGTAACTTCTATTTTCAAGACTTCGATCAACATAATAAACATCACTATAAAGAAAATATAAAGAAACTTATATAATAACTAGAAATGCAATCGTGTCACAACGATATGCATGCAGTAATTCCCGTGTTTCTACGTGTCGAACGAAAGAGCTTCTCTAAGACTATCCAGAGCAATTTGTATAAATTCTTTAGCTTCTGTGATAGTGGAGATAGGTAGGGCCATATAAAAACGGCCCAAAACGGACAAAATGGTGCCTGGGCGGTCACGCATGGGTGATTCCGGAGACGAAGAACGCGGTGACCATGGTGGGATTCTAGATACTATGCCTACGAGGCATAGTATGAATGAGAGAGAGAGAGAGAGAGAGAGGAAGAAAGAGAGAGAGAGACAGAGAGAGACAGAGAGACAGAGTTAAATGAAATTAATTGTTTATTCCCCCGCAGGAAAAAATAGATTATGACTATTGATAATCTGATTGAAAAACTAAGTGCTAATATCTGCAGAACATATCTCACATAATGTTAAGCGAACTTAGGTCGATCATAGTTTTTGAGGGGCAATTCAATATTGAAAGGCACAAATATATTACTTTCTGAATCTAAAATGAATCTTGTGAAACATGCTCTATTTTATTATTCTTCGAAATGGTCGCCTTTACATTCATTTCCTCTATTGTTCTTATTTGTTAGGATCACAACACAGAATCTTTCTCTTTAAAGAAAGACTTTCTGATCTATCGAAACGGTTTGGGGCCAATATCAAAAGCCGATGACCATATGAAAACAAAAGTACAAAGTTTTACTTTCTGCAAAAAGTCTCAGTCACTTGTAATTCTCTAAAAAAAAAAGAGTGTTTTTTTTTCTTTTGAGACGAGTCGATAGACAGTTAGGAAGATTTCAAAGTTATCTAATATATTTTTTGGAAAGGCGGACAGTTTCGCTTCCTGTAATGAAACTCACTAGACAAACTTCTACAAAATTAAAAAGTACCTACCAACAAAGAACCAAATGACAATCAGTTCTTTTAACTGAAAATAATGGTCGATCCAAAAGGTTTGGGGTCAATTTCAGATCCATTTTGGAAAGCCACACAGTCTCATGTTCTGCAATAGAACTCATCAGACATGCTTTGAAAAAAAAGGTACCTACTCCCAAAGAGAAAATCATGGTCGATAACAAGTTTTTGGGTCAATAGCAAATCCATTTTTGAAAGACATACAGTATTGCTTTATGTCATGAATCCTTTTAATGAGACGATAATTTGAGGCAAAACACGCTTTTGGTTGATATATTTTACATCGTTCTTAGGTAACCGTGGTTCCCTACGCGTGCAGAGTTTATCGAACTCGTTAATTTGATATGCGTCTGTGTAGCTTTTGCGGTACTGTATTTCGATTCTTTTAGATTCGATTTGTCCAAACGATATCTTCATCGACCCGCCGGCTTCCGAAAATAATGTTTCAATCGATGATAGTAAAGGTTTGGGGTTTCAACGTCGCTTAGATGTAATAGCCGCTGCGGTGACAGGTTAACATGAAAACAAATAGATATGTATTAATAGATAAATAGAAATACAGTGATATCGAGAGAGAAGAAAGAGAGAGAAAAAAAAAGACAGACATAGAGAGAGCGAGAGAGAGGAAGGAAGAAAGAGAGAGAGAGAGAGAGAAAGATGATATATAGCGAGAGATAGGAAGAAAGAGATAGAGAGAGAAAGAGAAAGAAAGATGAAGAAAGAGAGAGAGAGAGAGAGAAAAGAGGGAGAGAGATATGAAGAGAGAGAGAGAGAAAGAAAGAAAAAGAGAGAGAGAGAGACAAACAGAAAAACAGAATGAGAGAGAGAGAGAGAGAGAGAGAGAAATGGACAGGGAGACAGAGAGAGGGGAGATAAGAAATTAAAGTTAGACGAACCATCTAGCCAAGAGTCGAGGCCTATTTTGGGCAAATTCTCTTTTTTTTTTTTCGTATAAAGGACTTTCGGTTATAGTTTACAAATTCTCTCGCCATGGAAGAAATATGGGGAAAAATGTACTTGGAAACATATTGGTCGATCATTTCAGTAATTACAAATTAACGCGAAGCTACTTATTTACCTCAATGGCTAGAGCTATCGTATTCAGATGGTTTGAAAACTTCTCTAGAGCTCTGACGGTCGCAGATTCGAGCCCTACTATTAAAGGCATTTATTTCCCCAATTTCCTTAATTCTGTTTTATCTGCATTGCTTCCCGCTAGCCATGTGCAAACTTTAAGGTGAATAACTTTTTTTAAAATTTAATCTAAATGCGCCTTGACAATACTTTTTATTACTATCGTCACTGTTATTTTAGCTTTACATTTTCAAAATAAATGGAGAAAAAAAGTAATCACTCCTACAACATTTTGTAACGAACATAACGAAGAAGTAAATTTGATATAATCATTAAATTTTCTCATTAATGCCTTGCTGAAAAAAACATGTTTATGAAGAGCTCCCCCTACTGTCGAACACAGCGAGGCACAATACTAAGTTGTTTGAAACCTCAGTGGGAAAGTGGGAATAATAATAGTTACAGTGCTTATATAAGTCTCTAAGCGCTCTACAGTTATACAGCATAATTACCCTGGTTTTAGCAGTGCAGCTGTTACGCGCGCTGCGTTTCAAGGAATAAATATCCACCAGGTAACCAATTACTTCACCTGGGTGGAGTGTGGCAAATGTAGATCAATGTCTTGCCAAAGGACATTAGTGCAGCGGCGGGACTAGAACCGCGGACCTTGTGATCGACAGTCCGGCGACGTATCCACTCGACCACAACACCTCTAGTGATAAGGGCGTGACATAAACCCTTTGTCTAGCTATCTACTTTTAAATAATATTTCGATATGAGGTAGCAGACTGGCTAAAATGTCTGGTTAAAAGAGATGATGTAAAAACTATAATCAAGTATCAGTCTACGAGCGCGTTTGAAATATCACGTTTTTGACAACAATTGAAATCCTGCACATGCTGCGTATGTCGTGCCCATTAAAATGCATTAACCTGCGTAATCATTCATGTAGTTAGATGAACAATATGGTCATAAGATTGAGGGGGGGGGGTTGCTTTTTTCAAACATTAATTTTAATTCTTAATAACAAGTAAGTCGATTCAAGCACTTCCTGCCGGATAATGAGAGTGTTCGGGCATCTTGCTGTTCAAATTTGAGTTGGTGGTTGCCCGAAGATTGGATTTTTTGAGCTTCAAAATCCTCAGTCGGCTTTAGGCTTGTAGTCGCCCCTCCCGTCTCTTGCGTCTAAATGAAAGGATACAAATACGCTAGTGACTGTAATTATAATCGGATATAGTCTACACTTATGTAGGTTTTAGCAAAATTATCATAGACCTAGACTCATGGATAAGATGTAGACACAAGATCTAGTCTAGTTCTAACGTCAGCTTCAGTCTCCGATATCAAGGGTTGTTCCACTGAGACTACATCTGGCTACACAGACCACCTTCTGTATACATGGAATGTTGACAAATGTCATTTTTATACCTCATACCAGTAAACACTTCCATACTAAGATGAAATATAAACATAACATTTTTTTTCAAACAAGAGATAAACTCAAATGTAAAATAAAATTGCACAGCTGTAGAGGCACAACAGAAATGGCAATCTGTATTAATGACAACAAAGAACAAAACAGGCAGACTCGGAGCGGCTATTCGCAAATCATGCTGATCAAAAGGAAAACACCAAATATTCGGCCAAAAAGAAATCTCTACAGGAATAGCATCACTTACATGATTATTCCCCTACGTTTTTTTCCTGTAGGCATTGGTTTTCATCCAATATCACGGTTATTTTCGTGGCATTGACGTCGTTATGTCGAGGTTCATAGAACTAATTAACCGTTTCATTTCGATGTAAAAACAAGCCGTCTACGTAAAGCTGTTCCAAACTTGCTCTTTAAAAGGGACGGCTATTTTTCATTATGTTGTCTGCTAGATTTCACAGTCAATAAACTCGATGGCAAATTCGTGCTGACACTTCTAAAAAGAACCGAGAGTTTTTTTTTTTTTTTTTTTTTTTTTTTTTAAATTAAAGGTATGATACCTTCAGTGTTGGGCATATACATGATCATATAGATGATGGTTAACGTTTGTAATTTTCATAGAATTAATTTCTATGCTTGTCACAAGGATAAAGGTATTCATATTAATTAGCATTTTCATTTACTTGCCTAACTAATTCAATATCCCGTCAGTTTTCCCCCATCCCAGAGATACTGTTTTGTGTTTTATTTGCTAATTACTTTTAATTTAATTTATCTCTTTATCTAATCATTTACTTAATA